CATCCGATCTCTCCCCTCCGTGCTGAAGACGTTGGCGCTGCTCGCCGCCGATGTGCAGGCGCGGCTGCCCGCCTCCGTGGCTCGGCTGCCCAGGCCGCCGTCCAACGAGGCTGCCACGCTCCGGCTCGAGCTCGGCTGCTTGGAACGATCCCCCTCCGATCCCGGGCGCCTGTTTCCTGGCGGCGCGCGCACGCCAGGCCGACGGGCGCGAGGGGGGCGGCCCTCCCGAGAAGGCGAGGGGGGGACCCTCCTCCAGGAAGGCCAGAGGGGGGCCTTGCGAGAGGGCCTCCCTCTGCTTCGGAGAAGCCCTCGCGGAAGCCCCGGAGGGCCCCCTCTGGGAAGGCCCCCCTCCTTCCGTCCGGGAAGGCGGCGGCGGGGGAGGGCCCCCCCCCCCCCCCCGCCGCCGCCTCCCCGGACGGCCGCTCCCCCCCCTCTCTATCGCCCCGCCTGCCTCTCCAGCCGCTCCGCCCGCGGCCACATGAAGAGCTCCTCCCTCCTCCTTCTCCTCCTCCTCCTCCTCCTCCTCCTCCTCCTCCTCCCTCCTCCTCCTCCTCCTCCCTCCTCCTCCTCCTCCTCCTCCTCCTCCTCCTCCTCCTCCTCCTCCTCCTCCTCCTCCTCCTCCTCCTCCTCCTCCTCCTCCTCCTCCCCCCCCCTCGGCTGGCAGACCCCGACCCGCGAGTGACATACGAACGTCGTCGGAGGCCTGGGTTTCCCAGGACTCGAGGGAGGAAAAACCTCCCGGGCCCGGCAGCTGGCGCTTCCTCAACGGCCTGGGGCGTCTTCGGCACCGCCCTGCCCTGTTTGATACCCTCTCTGGGTGCGTTTACGGAACGGCCTCGCGTGTCGGGGTGGTCATTCTCGGGGTGGCTTTTCTGCCCTCTACAGACGTTCGATGCCTCGGGCTCTTCCGTGGAGGATCTCCCGGCACGGATGCCTGGGGAGTTCCGGCCCTTGTCCCGGGGCCGGCACCTCTTGCCTGGGGCCTTCTCCCTCCCGGTCCCCCAGCGAGGGGGACGACAAGAGCGGCTGAACATGTTCCGTCGTGTGCGTTTTCACGACGTCGGGAAATCAGCTCCTGAAGTACGCATTGTCCTGAGTAGACCCCCGACGCGCGCAGCTTCTCATTCGAGGCCATGGCCTCACCCGCCTCGCGCTTAAGTTGGGAGCCCCCAAACCAGGTGGTGAGATCTCAGGTGGTGACCTGGAATCCCCAAAAAGTCACCCCCGGGTTTTGGGACACGGGCTCACCGCCGGGTCTTGTGACTCCTGGGCCCGCCAGCGTTCGGGACATCCTCGAACAAGCGCATGAGTCCCCAAACCGGGTGGTGACACCAAATCGCCCGAGACTCACCGCCAGGTGTTGTCACCACCACGTTTGGAGATTACCAATTAAGGGGCCCGGGCGCATGCCCGCACAGGCGTTCCGTTCCGTTACCGGCATGTCCGGGTCGTTCCAGGCCTCCCAGATGGCAGGGGAAGGGAGGATGACGGAAGCATGACACCTCGGAGGTCCGCGCGGTTTTCTCGGCGCGCTTGGCCCCCCTGGCGGCGCGCTGCCCCTGGCGCGCTCCGGCGCGGATCCAAGGAATCCGCGCGGACCCCCGAGTTTGTGCGTTTATGCCATGTTTCGTGCCCCTAATGGGGTCGGGGGATCGCGCCGCATCGCCGATGCATCGGCGGTGGGGCTCCATGTGAGCGACGAAAGGTGACGGGGTCGCGCGTAAGCGCCCTCGTTTCCCACAGTGGCGTGCCGCGCCAGTGGCCCGCATGAGCCACTGCGTAAGATGGCTGCGTCATCTCGTGCAAGACCCGTTTCTTTTACCGCAGTTGCCCATGTGGAGCTCTCCACGCAGACGTGAATCAGCGATGAACCGGCGATGCGGCGCCATCCTCTGACCCCATTCACTCAGTGGGTCCTTTTGGAAGCTTATTTCTAACATGCATGATTCACTTCTTTGCACTTCTGTAGAGGCGGATAGAGGCCGCTGAAGGCCACTAAAGGCTGCGAACGGTCGCCACAAGGCCACTAAAGGCTGCCAAAAGGCGCCGAAAGGCCACCAGCGGCAGCTCATCATACACCAGATGCCGCTGAAGGCAACGAAAGGCTACTGAACCGAGGCGGTATGTGTTAGAAGGAGCTTCCGAAAAGACTCACCTAACATTAAGTCGGGCATGTCACTCGACAGGAGGAATATTCAAAAATAGCGAAATGGATAGCCTGGGGACGATTCTTTTATTCTTTGCGAATATGTTTGGACTAGTGTTAATTGTTCTTCCGAAACTCGCCTGTAGGAGGACATGCCCGGCCTAACCTGGCAGCCACCACCACCACCAGGGGGGCCACCTTCAGCGAGGAGGCCCACGGATGCCCACGGCCCCCCCCCCCCGAGCCGGAGCTATCGCATATGACGCCTCGAGCGGGGCATGGGGGACCGTACGACCACCGAGAGGACCCCCCCCCCGCTGGCTCCCCGCGCCGGAGGAGCTGGTCGTGCCGCTTTTCCTCCGCTCCTGTCGGCGGCGAGCGAGGGTCCGGCGATCGCAGACATGGATCAAGGGGTGCGTGGATCAGCGACGGGCCCTTTTGCAGAGGGGAAGCCGCGGATTTCCGCCGCCGAGCGAGGCGGCACCGGCCGCGCTATCCATATGGACTTGGCGACCGCGCGCCAAGCCCATGGATCTGGCGACCGCGCGCCAGCTCCGGAGGGCACCTCCCCCGATCCATGGATTTGGCGACCGCGCGCCAAATCCACAGATCGCTTCTCCATGTCTGCGCGCCCCCGAGGGGGGGCAAAAAGTGAGAAGGAGAAGGGCCTTTTCAGGAGGCGGCGGGGGGCCTCTCCGAAGGCCTCCGGCCTTCCGCGAGAGGTGTCCCGTGTGTCTCCGGGGGGCAGGCTTATATAGGAGAGGCTTCTCGGGAGGCCAGGGGACCTTCCGAGCCTTCTCGGCAGGCCCGCCCCTGCTCACTTCCCCCCCCCCCCCCCGCAGTCTCGCCGCCGAATCCTCCGACTCCAATCGGCGGAGCGGAGAGGGGGGTAGGGGGAGGGGGGAAGGCTCAGACGCAACCCTGCTGCTTGGAAGGCGCGCGGGCCTTGTCTGTAGATGTGAGGCCCGCGCCTTCTAAGAAGCAGCCTCCTTCTGAGAGGCCTTGCCCCCTCCCGACAGTCAGCCCGCATAGTAAAGATGGGCAACCTTCCCAAGGGCACCCTTGCATCCTTGCCCTTCGGCCCACCCAAAGCGATTTTCGCTGGCCAACCTCGTTCGAAAAACGGTCTCCTGGGGCCTCCCAGGCCCTTACATCCTTACTGGGATGGCCGTGGGGGGTTTCTAAGTGGACAGGGGGGTTACAAGTGGATGCCAAGGTGGTTTACATCTGGCCCAACCTGGCTCACAAGGGGGTTACACGTGCCCCGAGCGGCTTAGGGGGGTTAACGATCCGGGCTGAGTGGGCTCCGCACACTTGGCGGAGGTACCAACCCCCCCTATAGCCACTCGGGGCACTTGTAACCCACTTATATGAGCCAGGTTGGGCCAGGCACAACCCCCCTTGGCATCCACTTGTAACCTCCCTGCCCACTTCGAAAACCCCCCACGGCCATCCCAGTACCACCGCGGCTCCGCCCGCTCGGGCCCTCCTCCTCCTCCTCCTCCTCCTCCTCCTCCTCCTCCTCCTCCTCCTCCTCCTCCCCAAGACGGCGCAAGAAGACCCCGAGCTGCCCAATGCGGCCCAGGAGGACTCCCAGAGGCCCCAAGCGGGACCCTCCTGGGAGGCCCCCGGCGTGCCCGGCTCGTGCGTGCGCCGCCCGCTCTCGCCCCCCCGGCGGCACCCTTTTGCGCGATGCTCTCGCGGCTGGCGACGCGCCGCGCCGGGGCAGCGGCCCGCTCGGCTGCGGGCGCCCTGCCGGGGCGCGCGGCGCCCGCACTGGCCCGGCGTCGTCGTCGTCGTCGTCGTCGTCGTCGTCGTCGTCGTCGTCCTCGTCCTCGTCCTCGTCCTCGTCCTCGTCCTCGTCCTCGTCCTCGTCCTCCTCGTCTTCGTCGTCGTCCTCGTCCTCGTCGTCGTCGTCGTCGGGGTCGGGGGGAGAGGTGGAAGGGGGCGAGGGCGGAGGATGAAGAGGGAGGGGGAGGAGGAGCAGGAGGAGGAGGAGGTGATGAGGAGGAGGTGGAGGAGTGAGTTGGAGTGGGGATTGAGGAGTGAGAGGGTCGTGGACGAGGAGTGAACATGTGAAGTGAGGAAGTGGAGTGAGGATGGGGGAGGAGTATCAGGAGCAGTTGGAGGTGGATGACACATGAGGACCAACCTTTGGGATCTGACCACTCGTCAGGGACTGCATGCGACATACAGCCTAAGCGCACCGAGCGCATCGTGTCAGATAATGGCCTCTTCGCCCCTGATTCGCTGCCCCGCTGGTAGCCGGCCCTGCATCCTCTCCAGCTTCTGCGAGGGCTGCGCTGGCGTGGTCCACCTGCCGAGCCGATTCCCCGCCGCATTCTCGACCGTGAGCGGCAGCGCAGGCGAGGGATCCACCGACGGGCCTCGCGCAGGTGCGGTCCACCCCGGCGCAGGGCGACCACGGCTCGAACCGCAGGGCCCGCGCCCAGGAGCGGGCGCCGGGGGCCCCGCGGGACTGCCGCGCCACCCGGCGCTGCCCGTCGGCGGAGGTGCCCGGACCTCGGCGCAGCCGGTGCAGCGGATGCAGGGCAGTTTGGGTCCCCCGCCGGGCCTGTGCCACACGGCACTGCCTCGCCTAGACCTAAGCCGGGCCTGTCCCTCCACAGGAGGGGAGTCCAAACATTTGGTCAAAACACATACTCGGGGGACGATGTCGTGGAGCATGTTTGGGCAGTTTTGGAGCATGCTTGGGGTATCTTTCTAATTTTTCGCCCAAAAGTCCCCCTGCAGGGGGACAGGCCCGACCTAAGCCTAGACCGCTGAAGATGACGGCCAGCCCTCCCAGCGCACTGCCAGCAGTCCTGCCAGCGTGGCCCTCGCGAGCGCGGCACCGGCACCGGGAGACCGGGTGCCAGGCCCCCGCTTGGGTTCCGCAGGGACGAGTGAGGAGGATGGGCAGGAGGAGGAGGAGGTGGAAGTGGGAGGAGCAGGAGGAGGAGGAGTACCACGATTTCGAGGATGAGCAACAAGAACAGGAAGAGGATAAGCAGCAGCAGCAGCAGCAGGAGGAGGAGGAGGAGGAGGAGGAGGAGGAGGAGGAGAAGAGCGCGATGCCGAAGAAGTGGGGGCAACGAAGAAGCCAACATGCGTCTAGAAGGGAACGACGATCTGTTACACCTCATTCGCAGTCGCTGGAGTGCGCCTGTGGAGGTAGGGCTTCTGACTGAGGGATGGTGTTGGTAACGCGGTCAGCATCGGAAAGTCAGTGATGCGACGTATTCCTCGGCACAGTCTGTTCCCAAGAAACGGCCAGAGTCAGGAGCACCGTGGACGACAGAAGACTATGCAGTCCAAGGTGTAGGGGCAGCGGCTTTGTCTGAAGGTTGTTCAGGGCAAGATGCAGGCCATCTCCTCCAGATGGTGCAGCATGCAGTTGGTGCAGATGGCAAAACATCATGAGTACCTTGCAGAAGCACGTTGGCTCCTGAGCCATGTGCTTACGGGCTTCCGCGCGCAGAGGCACGCCACCAGGTTACCAGTCTGGATGGCACAGGCGGCAACGGGCAGTTTGGCCAGGAAGCAGAACACGGTGGCCCACCATCGAGCGCAGCACGGCATCTGGTGCTCTAGGGCGCAGCTTGCGCCGAGGCGGCTCTCGGCGACGCAGGCGGGGGCCTGCCTCGGGCGAAGGGCCGAGAGACTCAGCAGCGCCAGCCCGACATGGCCGAGGTCGAGAGGGCGCAGACGGCATGGGCTGCCCGCGCCATCGTCCCCGCACGCGCCGCGGAGGCCCTCCCGCTGTGGGGGGGGGGGGCGTCGAGCGACGGAGCGCTCCTCCGCGGGCGCAGCCCTGCTCCTGCCGCGCCTGGGCCCCGCCCCCGCCCCCCCCCCCCCCAGAGAAGCCCCGCCGGCATCTCCGGCCGCCGCGGCGGGGGCCTCCCCGTCGGGCGGTCCTCGGCTCCTCCAGGCGGGGATCTGCGGCGCCCCGCCCTGCGCCGCGGCCGCCGCCGCAGCAGCCGCCGCCGCCGCCTCCGCTGACGGGCCCCCCCAAGAGGGGGCCAGCGGGTAGCGGGCGCCGCTGGCGCCGGCTGCTCCGCGGGGTGGGGCCTCCTCTCGGCGTGCGGAGGCCCTGCTGCAGCAGCTTTTGTTTCCTCCTGCGGGTGCCTGCGAGGCCAGCAGCACCCCTTCTACTGCAGGTCCCTGCGAGGACCGAGGATGATGCCCCTGCAGGCCTCCTCCCCCGCTAGTCATCACCGCTCGGACGGAAGAGGTTGTGCAACGCTAAGACCAAACTTTGGATCGCTGCTTGCCGCTTGGACTCTTGTGACGCTTGTCCAGCGAGCCTGCTGCCTGCGGGGCGGGTCCTGACGGAGGTCCTCTGGCATGTGGCGGGATTGCTGCCGCAGTGGCGAGCCAGCGCCAGTCTTGAGCAGGAGACTGGTTTATTGTTGGGCTCTCTCTCTCTCTCTCTCGCTCTCCCCATCTCTTTCTCTTTTTCTGTTGATTGTATTGGGAGCCCAGCCCTCCCACCCGCATTACCCTCCCCCTCTCTAAGGAGTTGCTCGGTGAGGTCTCAAAGGCCCTCCAGGGGCTCGGAGACCTTCGGAGGTCTAGCCGTGGCGAGGGCTCAGTGCAGGCACCTGCTGCTCTGGGCGGGAGCTCGTAGGAGGTGCCCGCGGTGTGCCCGCAGCTTCAGGACCCTGGCCAAGGCGCGGGGGCACGGGCCGCTCTCTGCCTTTCCCCTCCCCCTGCCGATGCCATCGCTTCCCCTCGGCCCGCTCCGCCCCGCCGCCGCCTCTTCCGCATCACCGCTCGCGTGCTGGCCACGCGCGTCTCGGTTGCCCGGCGCAGCACGCGTGGGAAGCCCTCGACCGGTACCCGCGCACGAGATCTCTCGCTGGGCAGCCCCCCGAGGTGAGTCAATGGCAGCTGGGCCTGCCCAAGAGATCCGCACACGAGATGGCTGGATGAGGAGCACTCCGAGGTGAGCCAATGGCAGTTGGGCCTGCCCAAGAGAAGGAGCGCTCGCTCCTGGCAGCGAGGGCGATCCGGCGCGCTGTTGGCCAGCCAGGGTGGAACGGGTGGACTGTGCTGCCCCAGCCGCACGGACAACGTGCGAGAGTCCCCATGTGATACCGTTACTCTGCCCTTTCCATCCGGGCCATCTCGGTCTGTGAGTGTTGCGTGGGCGACTGATGTTTCCTTCCGGGCCATCTCGGTCTGTGAATGTTGTGTGGGCGACCGATGTCCGAATCAGAGAGAGGATGGTGCGGAGGGATGAGGGATGAGGGAAGGAGAAGGACGATGGACACAATGGAGGGGCGGGCGGGGACGCGGGGAGAAGGAGGGGTCCGGGGAGGATGAGGAAGAGAACGAGCACGAGAAAGGCGTTGAGGGTGAGGGGGAGGGATGGAGGAGCGGGGGTGGTGCACTATGAGGGTGACGATGAGGACAAGGGTTAGAACATGGTGCATCAAATATTCTGCAGCGTATCCTTTCCATGCCAATCTTTCGGGCGTCCAAAGCCAAGACCCCTCACAAGAATTCATTCCACGTTTTCCAGTTCACTTCGGGAAGCTCCCCCCACACAAAGGCCGAGAGCTCCAAAAGCCTGCCATCCAAGCGAGAATATTGCTTTGAACCAAAGCACCCTCCATTATCCCATGTGTAAGAAGCGTCGCGGGATAGGACTGACTGTAAAAGCCGAGGCCAGTTCCAGCGAGAGCCCGGTGTTTAAACACACAGCCGCCCTCCATGAGTACACTGTTGACACAATTTCACAGGTAATGCCACAGGATTTGAGGATTCTCGCGCGAGAGTACCATGTCGAAACGAAGCCGCCCCCCATCCGTGTATTGTTTGTAGAATGTGCGTGGCGCTGGGTCAAAGGCCATGCTTTGAAACCCACCCGCCGTTACAACCATGGGAAGCTCTCAAGACACATGTGCGCGGTACCAAGGCGATTAGCATTATCGGGAGCGGCGAGGTTGCCAATGCTGCTGGAACTTTCTAGGACGAATGCCCGCGGCGCGCAAAGGTCGCACGTGGCGAAACGCCCAGCTCGCCCTTCCGACACGTTTCGGATGGCGTAGAACAAGCGATGCAGGACTATGAGGAGAAGTTGGGCTCGTCGCCATGGCTGTGTTTGCCTCGGCGTTCCGATCAGAACGTGGCCCAGGCGAGGCTTGATCCGGGCCGCCCAGATGGGGCCAGAGTAGATGGCGTCGGAGAACCGTGCCGCACGCCAACGCATCGGCGGTGCGGCGCTGTCCAAAGCCCGAGTAGTTGTCCATCCTGACGCCGCCGATGCATCGGTGATACCTCCGCGACACCGGTCCCGCCTGCACAGGCCTCATACGGGAGGTGGAGGAGAAGGATGATGTGGAGGAGGATGGGGATGACGAGGTGACGAGGAGGAGGAGGAGGAGGAGGAGGAGGAGGAGGAGGAGGAGGCAGAGGAGCAGGGGGAGAAGCAGGGAAGGAGGATGCGGGCGAGGAGTAGGAGGAGGTGGAGGAGGAAGCGATGAGGAAGAGGCAGGCGAGGAGGAGAAGGAGGCGGAGGAGGGAGGCAGGATGAGGAGGAGGAGGAAGTGGCGGAGGAGGAGCAGGAGAAGGAGGAGGAGGAGGAGGAGGAGGAGGAGGAGGAGGAGGGGGAGAGAGAAGGAGGTGGAGGAGGAGGAGGAGGAGCGGGATGAGGAGGAGGAGGAGGTGGAGGAGGAGGAGGAGGAGGAGGAGGAAGAGGGGGAGGATGGAGCAGGATGGATGACGAGGGGGATGACGAGCCCAGGCCTGTGCGCGGCCTCGGCGGCGAGCGTTCGCGGCGGAGGCCACCCCTATTGCCAACGGCAAGGTGTCGCAGGTCTCATGGCTCTCCTTGCTTTCATCGTCCTCGTCGTCCTCTCTTCCCATCGTCGTTGAATTCTCATGTCCAACGAACAGATGTGAGTGACCCCCCCTTCCGGTGCTGGTTGTGTGTGTGTTTTCAACCGGAGTGCTTCTCCCAGGTCATCGGAGCCGTGGTGGACGTGCAGTTCGAGGGGGCGCTGCCCCCGATCCTGAACGCTCTCGAGGTCTCGGGCTTCGAGCACCGCCTGGTCCTGGAGGCTTCCGGGGGGGGGGGGGAGAAAGGGGAGGGGCAGGGGAGGAGGGAGGGGGGGAAGGCGGAGGAAGAAGTTGGGATGAGGGGGCTGAGGCAGGGGAGAAGGCGAGCAGGGGATGATGATGATGATGATGCTGCTGCTGCTGATGCTGCTGATGATGATAATCACGACGACTATGACGATGGTGGTGGTGATATGCAGATGAGGATGATGACGATGACGTTGACGATGATGATTGTGATGATGATGCTGATGATGATGCTGATGATGGTAATGGTGGTGATGGTGGTGATGTTGTTGATGATGTGGATGATGATGATGCTGCTGCTGATGATGATGATGATGGTGATGGTGATGGTGATGATGATGTTGTTGATGATGATGGTGATGCTGATGCTGTCGATGATGATGCTGACGACACTGGTGATAAGGATGACGATGGTGATGGCGATGACGATGATGATGATGCTGCTGCTGATGATGATGCTGATGAGTCTGATGATGATAGTGATGATGATGGTGGTGGTGATGAGGAGGAGGTGGATGCGGATGCTGATGATGCTGATGATGATGAGGAGGATGAGGGTGAAGATGAGGATGCTTATGATGATTAAACTGCTGCTGTTGATGTTGAGGACGCTGATGCTGCTGCCGCTGATGATGATGATGATGGTGATGCTGGTGGTGATGGTGATGACGGGGATGATGAGGATGATGACGACAATGTGGATGATGCTGGAAACGGCGATCATGATGATGTTGGTGGCTGTGATGGTAGTGATGGTGATGATGATGATGATGCTGATGATGATGATGATGATGATGATGATGATGATGATGATGATGATGATGATGATGGTGGTGGCGCTGGTGATGGTACTCATGATGCTGGTGATGACGATGTTGCTGCTGATCATGAACATGAGTGCGGTGATGATGCTGGCGATGATGACGATGCTGCTGATGACGATGGTGGTGATGCTGATGAAGATGATGACGATGACCACGCTCATTATGGTGGTGATGTTGGTGATGATGGTGGTGCGGATGTTGATGCTGATGCTGGTGGTGATGATGATGGTGGAGATGGTGCGGATGAGGATGATGACGGTGATGCTGAATGTGGTGGAGATGCGGATGTTGGTGTTGGTGATGTTGTTGTGGGTGGTGATGGTGATTGTGGTGACTGTGGTGACGATGATTCGGATGAAGACGCTTCTTCTGACAATATAATTGGTGTGGTGGTGATGCTGGTGACACTGATGGTGTTGTTTCTGGTAATGATGAAGATGCTTATGCTGATGCTGACGATGAGGAGGAGGATGTTCATAATCATGTTGGCGAGCGCATCATGATGAGGAGGAGGCGGAGGAGGATAGTCGGGATCGATGGTGGAGGACCGATGGCTTGTACGTATTACATTATTGCTGACGCTACGCGTTTCCCCGTCGATCCATCCAGACAAGATCCCAGGCCCATTGCTTTGACAAGGGAAGCGTAGGAGCATATAGTGGAGTTGAGAGGGAGGGGGGGTGCGGCCGTCAAGCCGAATCTCGGGATGAGCCTGCGCAGACCCAGGAGTCAACCATGCAGTCCTTCGCGCATCGTTTAATCTGGAGCCCCTTGGACGCATCTAATCTTGGAGCTCCCCTGGAGCTGTCCTCTGGGGGGCCTCCTGGGAGCATTGGGCGCGCCTTGAGGGGCCGTTCACCCATTTGGGGTCATCTAGGCCAGCTTGGAGTACCTGGGGCCAGCTTGGCGCCTGATTGACCCAGAAGCCTCCAAACCATGCCCCCGAGATGCCGACATCACTCAACGCCTGCTTCCTATTGTGTTTAATGGATGTGATTTGCAACAGACTGGGGCTGCGTGACTTAGCACAGCCACACTGGAGCGCGAATCATAGTCTCTTGAAGCCCTTTTGCCAGTGTCTTGGAGCGCCATGAGGGGCCTGTAGGGCGTCTTGGAGCCCATCTGGGCAGCTCCGGGGGCTTTCCTGGACCATCTTGGAGCCATCCTGAGACTGCAGACGCTCATCTGACTCGAACGGGCGAGGGCGAGAAGGCACACACACCACTGAAACATCATACACACGTGAGAAAGAGCGCGTTGCGTGGACGCTTGGGAGTGAAGCAGGCCACCCCCCCTGACTTGCAAGGAGGGGGGGCGGGGGTCGAACCGCGGGGGGGGGGTTCAAACCGGGAGGGCCCCCCTCCCACCCTCAATTGCACGGGGTGGGGAGTTCGAGCCTGGTCCCCTCCCCCCCGTCCCTCCGAGCAGGGGTGACTCGAACCCGGGGAGGGGCCCCGAGACCTCGACCTGAGGGGCGCCCCCCCCTGCAACCGACGAGGGCGAGCGGCAGCGCCGGCGCCGTAGCGACGACGACGACGACGCCGACGACAGTGACGGTGACGGTGATGCCGACGACGCTGACGACGACAACGACGACGACGACGACGACGACGACGGTGACGGTGACGGTGACGACGACAACGACGACGACGACGACGACAACGACGACGACGACGAGAACGACGATGACGCCGGCGACGACGACGACGATGCCGTCGACGATGATGGCGACGCCGACAACGAAAAAGACCACGACGGCGACCGAGTACGAGACGTTGGTCTTCAGCTGTCACGGCCGCCCCAAAAAATCAGGGTCGTGTAGGGTAGAACAGAGTAGGGTATGTCATTCCGATTAGAGTAGAGTAGGTTAGATGGTAGAGTCGGGCCAGGCATTATAGAGTTCACTGGAGAAGAGAATAATAGAGTATATTTGGAATTGTAATAGAGTGGATAGAGTAGAGTAGTGTCGCAGAGTGTAGAGCAGGTTAGGGCAGGGTACGGTAGGGTAGGGCAAGATGAGGTAGAGTAGACCAGAGCAGAGTAGAGCAGGGAATCATCAAGTAAAACAGAGTCGAGTAGAAAAGGGTAGAGTATGTTAGAGTGGAGTAGAGTAGAGCAGAGTAGAGCCGATTAGAGTAGAATAGAGTCGAATGAAGTAGAGCATAATAGAGTAGAGTACACGGAAGTAGCGTAGAGTAGGTGCCGAATAGGTATAGGGTAGAGGAGGAGTACGTGTGGAATGAGATAGAGTAGAGCAGAGCAGAGTAGAGTAGAGTAGAGTAGAGTGGAGTACAACAGGGACGAGTAGGTTAGGGCAGGGTAGGTATTGTGGGGAGAATCGATCAGGGTAGAGTACAACAGAGTCGAGTAGAGTAGGGTATTTGGTAAAGTAGAGTCGGACGGTGACGACGACGCTGACTACGACGACGCCGACGACGCCGACGACGACGAGAATCGATCCCTAGTAGGCTGCTATGAGGGCTGGGTCGAGCCCTGGTGAGATTCGATGAGTGCTGGGCCGAGCACCAGTAGGATTTCAGTAGAACTGAATCTCGCTTAAGCAGATCTGATACCTGGATCTTGTTCTAGTAGGGGTCAAGCATAGCTGGATTCAACTATCGTAGGGTTCTGTTTGACTTGGACAGGGCCTGATTAGGATGCTACTCAGGATGGAGCCAATTATAGCCGGGTTCAATCTGAGTTGGATCGGGCCTTAGGATTCAACTGCAGCTGGATCCAGCTAAAGTAGGGCTCTATGAGAGTAGGATCGAGTCCGATGGGTGCTAGTACAGTTGGACCTAGCTTTAGTAGGATTCGATTGGAGTTGGAACGAGCCCTAGCAGCATTCAGTCAGAGCTGGGCCTAGCTATCATAGGATTCAAATAGGAGCTGGATGTAGATATAGTAGGGTCCTTTCAGAATTGGATGGAGCCTTAGTAGGGTCTATAAGAGGGAGGGGCGGTGGTCCACCCCCCGTTCGGGGCGCCCCCCCTCTGCACATGGTAGAGGGGGGGAGGGCAACTAAGGGGGGCCCCCCCTCTGTTCGATCCCCCACCCCCCTTTTGACAGGGCTGCCTCCCCCTGTTCGAGCCTTCACCTCCCTTTGGAGGAGGGGGGGAAAGCCCCCGCATAGAGAAGCCGACGTCAGGCGAAGGGGGGGCCGCGTTCTGAGGGCATGCTCAATGTTTTGAAGGGGGGGCTGCGGTTCCACGTGCTCAAATGTTCTTTTCTTGAGGCAGGCGTCCACGAAACGCGTTCTCTCATTCATGATGTTTGAATGATTCTGGCTTCTCGCGAGTATCCTTGGGAGGCTCCGGTGCCACTTGGAGACGTCATGGGGCCGTCTTGGGTCTCTTAGGCATGTTGCAGCCAATTTGAGACATATGGTTCTGTACTGCGTCATCTGGGAGGTTGGGGCTATTTGGGACCATCTTGTGTCTTTAATGTGCCGCGCCGATCCTCTTCCAGTCCCAGGCAAGGGATGTCCCCTGATAGAACGAGTCAACTCCTCCAGTCGACCCGCGGTCGCGGAACTAGCATCGGCAAGACCAGACAAGGCGAGATGGCCTCCAAGGTGGCCTCCGACGGTAACACATGATGGGCCAATATGGTCCAAGATGGCCATCGCCTCCATGAGGTATCCAGGCCACCACAGCACGGCGCGAGGTGGCCATGCAGCTTCCCAAGGATGGCCCCGAGAAGCAATCATCTTCTAAACCTATGATGTTTTCAATGAGTGGAGCCTAGACGCGCTCTGGCTTCAGATAGGCTCCTAAGCTTCCAATGCTGCCCCAAGATTGCCCCAAAGCGGCTCGAGACGGGCCCAGATGCCCCCATGAAGACCCAGGAGGCGCACTCACCCTGAGCCCTTCCCCCCCTCCATGGCAGGGAGGGAGGGGTCAGGGGGAAGGGGATTCTCTTCGGCTCGATTGCGACCTGGGTCGATTCACCCCGGGCTGGTGAGCTTGAAGAGCCCCAGTTGGCCGCAGGGACAGGAGAGGACAACTTCGAACGCAACCGCGCCTCCCGGACCAAGTCTGGACGACGAACACCCGGTGGTGAGTTTTGGGCGATTTGGGTAATGGTTTTCGAGCGCTGGCTGGCCCAGGAAACGCAAAACCTCGTGGCGACCGCGTGCCCCCAAACCCGGTGGCGACCCAGAATTATTTTTTGGGGGGAATCGGGGTCACCACCGGGTGTCTCACCACCTGGTCTGGAGACCACCAACAGACCTCCCTCCGTACACGCGCCGAGGAGGAGGAGGAGGAGGAGGAGGAGGAGGAGGAGGAGGAGGAGGAGGAGGAGGAGGAGGAGGAGGAGGAGGAGGAGGAGGAGGAGGAGGAGGAGGAGGAGGAGGAGGGAGGAGGAGGAGGAGGAGGGAGGGAGGGAGGGAGGGAGGGAGGGAGGGAGGGAGGGGGAGGGAGTCGGCGGATTCATGTGACGACGCCGTCTGTGTATGTGCTGCGGGCGTGACCCGCCCCCCCGGAGGCGGCCCTCGCTCCTCCGGACCTGCCTCCTTCGGCCGCCCTTTCCCGCTTTTTTTGTCCCATCTCTCTTGCACGGTGGCACGACTCGCTGCCACGGTGCCCCCGTTTGGTTAGCCAGCTCTTCTCCCGGAGGGCTTGTCGACTCTTCGCCAATCGACGGGTGGGGATCGAGCCAGATAAATCCAGATACATGCGGATACATCGCGGTAAATCCAGGCAAATCCAGGTAAATCGAGATACGTCTGGGTAAATCCAAATAAATCCAGAGCTCTCCAGGGAAAGTTGGAGCAACCCGCGGCCGCTCCAGCGCGAGTCGAAGGACGGCAGAAGTCGTTAAGCCTTTAACGATCTTCCGCCAGCGCAGTTGCTCTGCCTAGCCGCTGGCGCAAGACAAAGCTCTTAAGTGATGTCGGCTGCGAGGGACTGTCAGAACTGCGACGCATCATGTCTCAGGCGATCGCAAACATGGATCAAGGGAGCGTGGATCAGCGACGGGCCCCGCTTCCATGGGACATCGCGGCCTTCCGCCGCCCAGCGAGGCGGCACCGGCCGCAGCTTGGGGAGGGCGCCTCCGATCCATGGCTCTGGCGACCGCGCGCCGAATCCATGGATCACTGATCCATGTTTGCGCGCCCCTTGCCAGTTTGAAACATATCCCTATCCCTATGTTTGACATCACCTCACCTTGATGCCGATCTTAAGGATTCCCTCAGTTTCTGAGGGCCTATCCCTCAGATTGTCCTCGCTTTTTGCTTGCCCATCTTAGGGATAGGGATAAGTTCGAGGCTGGTTAGCCCCCGACGTTTCCTGGGCGTGCTGCCTCTCTCCTGGGCCCCCTGGCCGATGTTTCCGTCGAGCGGGGCGGCCTCTCTCCTCACGCCACGCCCCTCCCTCTGCGCAGCTCTGCCCCTCCCCTCTCGTCCCTCGGAGCCTCTCCGTGGCGGTGCGCCTCCCCGTGGCAGCGTGCCTCTTTGGTGTTCGCTGCCGGCGCGCGTGCGAGATGACCGTCGGATCGTTGCGGCGGTTCCCCTCCTCCTCCTCCTCCTCCTCCTCCTCCTCCTCCTCCTCCCCCTCCTCCTCCTCCTCCTTCCAGTGGACGTTCGCTCCTCCTCCTCTTCCTCCTCCTCCTCCTGCGCCCGATGCAGCGATGGAGCCGAGACGTGTTGTGTGGCCTTGATTTGATGTCCGTGCGCCTTCGGCGGTGCCCTGAAGGTGGCGCAGCACCTGGGAGAGAACATGGTCCGCACCATCGCCATGGACGGCACGGACGGGCTCACGCGCGGCCAGGCGGTGCAGGACACCGGCTCCCCCATCAAGGTGCCAGTGGGCGAGGGGACCCTCGGCCGCATCATCAACATCATCGGCGAGCCCATCGACGAGCTCGGGCCTATCGACACGAAGAAGTTCTACGCAATCCACAGGCCCACGCCGACGTTCACCGAGATGAACACGACGGCGCAGCAGTTGCTGACGGGCATCAAGGTGGTGGACCTCCTTGCGCCTTACGCCAAGGGTGGCAAGATCGGCCTTTTCGGTGGCGCTGGTGTCGGGAAGACCGTGGTCATCATGGAGCTCATCCATAACATCGCCCTGAAGCACGGAGGCTACAGCGTCTTCGCAGGCGTCGGCGAGAGGACGCGTGAGGGGAACGATCTGTACCACGAGATGATGGCCAGCGGCGTCATCAAGAAGGACAAGGCCAAGGGGTCGAAGGCCGCGTTGGTGTACGGGCAGATGAACGAACCGCCGGGAGCGCGAGCCCGTGTGGCGCTCACCGGCCTCACAGTCGCGGAGTACTTCCGCGATGAGGAGGGCCAGGATGTACTGCTCTTCGTGGACAACATCTTCCGCTTCACCCAGGCTGGTTCTGAGGTGTCAGCGTTGCTTGGGCGCATCCCTAGCGCTGTCGGCTACCAGCCCACGTTGGCCACAGACCTGGCATCTTTGCAGGAGCGTATCACCACCACTCAGAAGGGCTCGATTACATCAGTGCAGGCCGTTTACGTGCCCGCTGACGACTTGACTGATCCAGCACCAGCCACGACCTTCGCGCACCTGGATGCCACGACGGTGCTGTCGCGCCAGATTGCGGAGCTCGGCATCTACCCGGCGGTCGACCCCCTGGACTCCACCTCCCGCATGCTGGACCCCTCGATCGTCGGGCAGCGCCACTACGACATCGCCCGCAGCACCCAGAAGATCCTGCAGGACTTCAGAGCGTGAATTACCTACCCCGCTTTCGCTTCCAGGCAAAACCAAGCCATACCACGCGCCTCCTCGTCAAGCGGCCTGACCCGTACAGGCTGCAATTTGGCATCGCTTGGTATCTCTTGGAAGCGAGGGTGGTCAAACGCGAGGTAGGTTTGTTTTCCCCCTAGGACTACAAGTCCCTCCAGGACATCATCGCCATCCTCGGCATGGACGAGCTGAGCGAGGAGGACAAGCTCACGGTCGCGCGCGCTCGGAAGGTGCAGCGCTTCCTGTCGCAGCCCTTCTTCGTGGCCGAGATCTTCACCGGCACCCCGGGGGCCTTCGTGGACCTCGAGACGACCATCAACGACTTCGAGGAGGTGCTCTCGGGCGCGTGCGACGACATCCCCGAGGCGGCGTTCTACATGATCGGCGGCATGTCGGACGTCAGGGAAAAGGCGGCCAAGCTCGCGGCCATGGCCGCCAAGTGAGTGCGGGGCACCGCGCCCCTGCGTCGGGGGCAACGTGAGGAGGGTAGGGTCAGGGTGGGGGAAGCATCGACCCCCGATCGCCCCTTCGTCGCCGATGGGGGCCTGAAAGCCCACCCCGCCCAAGAGCGCGGGGTCTCGCCATCCAGGGCCTGTCGCCGATCTGTCAACGACCCCCCCTGAGCCAGTCATCTTGGATGACTGTCCAGGGCTTCCTGTGAGCGAGGTGAACTGCTTGGCGGGCCGAGGGGAAGGGCGCATGGCAAGCAGCACAGGCAGCAGCGGGGGAGAATGAGCGGCCAGAGCAGCAGCCATTCATCCCGCTGGAGCCGCAGCCAGACCTGAAGTGCCCGCCTACGGTGTGGGCGTTCGTTAAGGAATGCGCCCAAGAGGCTTGAGACCCTCGGGGGTTCCTTACCTGATGAGGGCGGCAGTGATATCCATGGCCTGATCCACGGTTGACGATCCACTGGCTCCCAGACCCCGCATTCCTTATCCAACGGCTCCTTGTCCAACGCCCTCACCGAACCTAAAGTCCTCACCTATCGTCTCCCCTCACGGCGGCGTGCATCACGCGCGCTCGGCGACCTGACCGGCGAGGCGGCTGCCTTCACCGAGGCCGCGCGGCGCCAGGCAACTTCTCTATCGGTTCGGGGCGTGCACGGCGCCCCCGGCACGGTTTGGGGCGTCCATAGGTTTGTTGGCGGCGGCACACAACAATGAAGGCTGCCCTTCTCTCCGTCGTCGTCGTCGTCGTCGTCGTCGTCGTCCTCCTCGTCGTCGTCGTCGTCGTCGTCGTCGTCGTCGTGCGCCCAGCTCCCGCCAAGGGACGACCCCCTCCTCAGAGGAGCACGAGTGCGTGACAGTGGTGCCCTCAGTGTTTTCCGGTGCTCCCCGTCGCTCCGCGCGGGCCCCCGTGACGCGAGGGCACCTGGAGACTCTGGCACTCCTGGAACGCATTCTTCAGGAGGGGAAAAAACACAGACACAATTAATCGTCGATCCCCAAGAAAATATGGGAAAATATGGTAACTGGGCGGGAAGACAAAAACCCAGAACATCTAGGAAATTATGGGGAATCTTTTTATTTGTGTGTAGTTATTTGTGTGTCCTGGGGCCCCTTCAGTTCCTAGCACAGGCGTGCCACGGAGAGTCTGCGAGCGCATTCTGCAGCCAGGCGCCGGCGTGCCGTGCATGTGCTGCCCGCGATGCGCCGTCTGGCCTTGACACGCTACACCCTGTTATCCTTGCCTGTCTTCGTGCCGAGGCCCTCGCGTGGAGACGTCGGACTCAACCGGTGCGGGCCATTCATCCTTGCTGTCTGCAGCCTCCCGCCCCGCAGCGTTTTGGTGCATCACAGTTCCTTCCTGCTCGTGGCCATCCGAGGCAATCCTGCCTCGGCACGCGCCGCCATGGCCTCGGACGACCCGCATTTCCTGCTGTGGAAGACTGCGCACCTGCACGACGTCGCCGAGGACCGAACAACAAACAGCATGCAGCATGCAGTATGTCACACAGGGGGGACCGTACAGCGCCGTCCATGTTGCTCGCGTCTCGAGAGCTCCGAAATCATTGGAGCGGCGGCCATGGCTAGCACGGGGTCACGCGGCCCCGCTGGGTCACGGGGCCAACACGGGGCCGCACCCCGGCACCAGCCCCGTCAGGCTCCCGAGGGCTTCCCCCCCCCCCCGAGAGGGCCCCCGAGCGGGGGTCTCCCGCAGCACTCCCGCCACCGCGGGTGCGGGACCGCCGCAGGCTGGCAGCGCCGCCCGCTGGGCGCGGCCACGTCCCATTTACCAGCCTCGAACGTATCCCTATCCCTAAGATTGACACGCCAAAAGGCGATGACAATCTTGGGGATTCGCCCTCAAAAAATAAGGGAACCCCTAAGATTGGCATCGTGATGAGGAGGTGCCCAGCATAGGGATAGGGACATGTTCCAGGCTGGTAACCCATGCGATGCTGCATGTGCAGACGGGGCAAGCGCGGCGCCGCTCCGCGACGGGCCCCTGCCTTCGCCCTGCCCCGCCCGATCGGCGGAGGCCGGCGGGCGGCGGGCGGAAGCCGTGCGACCGGCGGGGTGGCTCCGCCCGGCGGGCCTGGGAGCCGAGGCGTCAGCGTGCGTGATCCCGGGGGCCTCTGTGGTTCGCTGGCCGCTGCGTCGTCGGTGCGTGCACAGCAGGGGAGCACAGGCACGCCGGCGAGACACACAGTCGGTGCGCCGAAGAAGGGACCCTTTTCGTTGTGGAGGGGCTCCGTGTTCCTCAATTGTGTCACAGCTTGCCTCAGGGTTTCCTTATGTTTTCGATGGGAAGTCGAAGTTCAACTTATGGAAAAAAGGGGCCTCGTTCCTCATTTAGGGTTCCTTGGGTCAACGCCCCGACTGTAGGGGACCACTCGGGGCTCAGGAGGGGCTCCAGTGTCCGGGCCGTGCCTGAGGTGCAGGTCGGGGGAGAGATTTTCTCCGAGGCCAAGGCTCGCCGTGGTCAGGAGAGAGCTCCTTCGCAATCATGGGCGTGTGTTCCACCACCATCACCACCACCACCATAAGTTGGAGGGGGGAAGTAGGTGGAGGATGAGGAGGAGGACGAAGAGGAGGAGGAGGAGGAGGAGGAGGAGGAGGAGGAGGATCCCTCCCCCTCCTACTGATGGGGGTGGTGGTGGTGGAAAACAAGCTTACCACGTAACCTTCGCTGGTGCTCCCTGTGGTCGCAGGGCGGCTGCAGAAGAAACTCGTCTGGGGCACCCGCTGCCAGGGCCGGGCTTTCCGTTTTGATGTGCCACCCGTCGAAGAAGAAACAAGGGCATCAACATACACTTTTGGCGCTCCGCGCCAGAAGCTTGTGCCCACGCCATGCTTGTTCCCCTAACCTCTCCGCGTGGTTCTCGTGGGCCGGCGCTGGACTCCCAGCGCGGCTCCGAGCGCGCCGGCGGCGGCCGCCAGAGGCGCCGCGAGGGGGAGGCCCGGCGCCGACCCGGGGGACTCCGCGCAGACCTCTGCGTGCACGGGTGCGTGCCGCCGCCTCCCCATCGGGAGGAGGACCGGGCCGCGCTGGAGGCCATGCCCGCCCCCCTCCGCGACGCGCTGATCGTCTTCGGCCCGCCCTTCGTGCACCGGAAGAGGTTCTGGGTCACCATGGTGGCCGCCTGGCTCGTCGGCGCCGTGGACGCCCTCGTGGGGCTCCTCTTCTACTGGTGCTTCGAGCGGGGCAGCGGCGCCCTGTGGTACACGCCGGCCTTCGAGGAGGCCATGAGCGGCGACGGCTGGGGGCTGCTCCAGGGCCAGTGGTGGTACGTGCCGATGGGGGCGGGGGGCGGCCTGGCCCTGGCGGTGTTCAAGGCCGCCTACGGGACCTTCGTGACCGTGCTCCCCGACAGCGTCCCCCCGATGTTCACCGAGATCAAGGACCCGGCGGCGAGCAAGGCTGGCCCGTGCACGGGGGGGCGGGGCGGCCTCCCGGGAGGGCGAGGGTGCCATGCCCGCATCCGGAGGCGGAGCGCCCCTGGGCGGCGAGCCCCCCTCGGGAGGATGCCTCCCGAGGCTGCCCCCCCCCTTGCCCGCCGCAGGCCTGCGCTGCCAGCTCTTTCGTGCCACTTCTGCCCTGGTGCGGTGCACGCGCTTGCCCGAGGCACGGACGAGAGGACGTGAGCGGCACGAGGGGATCTTTGGAAGCGCGCGTAGGGGGGCTAGGGGGGGGGGGGAAGGTTTCTCAGAAGGAGGCTGCTTCTTAGAAGGCGCCGGCCCTACATCTGTGGACAAGGCCCGCGCCTTCTACGAAGCGGCCCCCTTCTAAGAAGCCTTCCCCCCTCTCCCCTACCCCCACTGTGCGCGCCGCCAAGATCTGGGGCGCTGAGTCGCAACTGCGCCACCCGTCTCGGGACGGCCTCCGGGCCGATGGAGTGAGTCCTTCGCTCATTCGTTCCCCTTGCGGCCGAGAGGACACCGTGGTTCACGATTGGAAGGCGGCCCCCGGGGTGTTCGTCATGGGGCTCATCTCCCTCAGCTGTGGCAGTAGCTTGGGCCCAGAAGCCACGATGGCGTTCGTCGGCGGCACGGTGGGCTACTTCGTATGGAGGCCCAAGCACAGCTGATGCGAGGATGAGGACTACTGCAGACTGCATACTGCGAATGGGATGTGAGGATGAGGAGGGGCGAAAGAGGAGTGAGGACCGACGCTGCGGTGGAGGAGGAGGACGAGGACGAGGAGGAGGAGGAGGAGTTGGGGTTGGAGGAGGAGGAGGAGGAGGAGGAGGAGAAACCGGCAGAGAAGGAGGAGGAGGAGGAGGAGGAGGAGGAGGAGCAGGAGGAGGAGGAGGAGGAGGAGGAGGAGCAGGAGCAGAAGGAGGAGCCAGGGCAGCAGGAGGGGGAGGAGGCGGAGGATGAGGAGGAGAGGGAGACAGCGACGGGTCATGAAGGGATCTCATCTGGAAGCCCTTGGACCGCTGCGGCAGTGACCGGAAGGAGTGGAAGAAGGAGGCATGCATGCAGTGAGAGCCGTGGTCGCTCAAATCAGGTTTTATATTTTATATATGTACAGATTCCTCTTCCTATATATTTTGACAAGCCCGTGCGGGGGGAAAACCTCTCTCTCTCCCCCCCAAAAAAAACTGGACTCCCGGGATCTGGGGCTTTGGGACCCTCCGGACGGGCCTCGAAGCGGCCCCCCGGGCCTCGCAGGGTGTTTTTTCAAGCCTTTCCAGCACACCTAGGGCGATCAGAGGGGTCATCCCAGAGATCCTCAAGACAGCACAAGAGCGCTCCAAGAGTGACCGACGTGACCTCAAGATGGCCCAAGAGGCCTCCAGGACGGCCCCGAAGAGGCCTCCAAGAGCACTCCCAAGAAGGCCCCAAGATGCACAAGTCATTGATTTTCTATTGTTGTTTAGTGAATTTGGGGGTTCTCCTCTTTTCGGCTTCCCGACGCTCCAAGACAGCGGTCTTCTGGGCGTCCGAAGCTGCCTGGGAGGCTCCCAAATCGACCCACAACCATCCGAAAGGGCCTCCAGGCAATCCAAGAGAGCCCCAAAACGGCACAACACGGGTCCAAGATGGCCCTCAGATAGCCCCATGGCGGCCCAAGATGGCCCCAAGACACCTTCCGAAGCATTCCAAATCGTGACCCGGTCGTTCAGGAAGACCGCGGTTGGCGGCAGGGTGGCCCGAGGAAGCCCCCAGAGACCCCCAGAATACGCCCAGGAGGCCTCCAGAAGGCTTTAAGAAAGCCTGAAACAAATTTTGTGAGGCCCCCAGAGGCTCTCCGAGGAGGACCCTCCGCAAACAAAAGCTGAGGAGGATGGGGAGAATGCGCAGGGTATGGCGAAAACGAGGACAAAGAAGCACGGAGGAAGGATAACGAAAAACATTATGATAGCGGCGATGTCAGAAAAGGCAACAAGGAGTTATCGCTAAATTGTCGGCTTGGCTTGACCTTCCTGCTATTCCGCCTGCATACCAAACGTCAAGGACCAAGGTGCATGGCGAGAAGCGCCACTGCAGTCTTGTGTGTATATATATATATATATACATATACATATATATATATATATATATATATATATATATATATTCCTCTTTCTATATTTTTACAAGCCCGGGCGGCCGCAAAACCCCGCCCCCCCCCCCCCCAAACCGGACTCCTGGGATCCTGGGGCTTTGGGACCCTCCGGACGCCCATTGAAGCGGTCCCGAGTGCCTCAAGAGCGCTCCAAGACAGGCACAAAGCGCTCCAAGACGCCAAAGATAGCCCCAAGACAGCCTCAGGAGCCCCCAAGACGCCCCAAGCGGCCCCAAAGAAGCCTCCCAAGACGGCCCCGGGAGGCCGAAATGGTCAATTTTCCAATGTGTTTTTCGATGTTTTCTGCTTTCTCGCCATTTTAGCTTTCCGACGCTCCAAGACAGAACTAGAGGCCCTCAAGAGCGCCCCAAGATGGCCCGGGGGGCCCCCAAAACGGCCCCAACACGGCCCCAAGACGGCTCTGGAGCGCCCCGAAACAGCCCAAGAGGCGCCCAAGAAGGCCCAAGAGGGCCCCGAGAAAGCTTCAAACGAGCCCCCACAGGGCGTTCAAAAGTACAAACATCTAACTTTCCGCCCCAAGTGGGCCCCAGGAGGCCCCAGGAGGGCCCCAAGAGGCCCCAAGAGGCTTCCAAAGGCCCCGAGGACTCCCAAAAAGAACCCACGAGGCCCCAAAATGGCTCTCCAAAAGGCAGCCAAAACGGCCCCCCAAGAGGCTTCAAAACTGCTGAATCGCCCCACTTGACCGCCACCTCCGGAACGGCTTCGCTGCGCTGCTCCGTTGTTTGCCAGACAGTGGCATCCCACGCAAAACACCAAAATGCTTGAAATCCCGGGTTCGCAACCAAATTCCCGGGAAATCGGTTGCGAACCCGAGATTCGGCACATTTCCCCGGAATTCGGTAGATGTCCTTAGCATTTCCAGAATCCGGTACGTTGCCTGCATGCTTGCTGCCCTATGCCCTATCGCATCCCAGAATAATCGTTCCATGGAGGTTTCACGAGGGCCCTTCCAAGTCATTAAGGAAACATTGTTTTCCACACGTGTTCGCACACATGCATCCGTAGCCGTTGGCTTACATTTTTAAGCTGTCGCATACGGCACATCCTCGATGTCTGTATTCGCTTGCTTCGATTGTGGCGAGACCCTGCCTGCAGAATCATTCTCCACAACACAACTTCAGCAGTCCAATCGGGCTTGCAAGTCGTGTGCCAGTCGACGGGAAACACAGTCACGGTCAGCCCCCCAACACAAAGACTATCAATGCACTCGTTGCGGGGACATGCACGATCGAACTCACTTCAGCCCTTGCCAGCTGCACCGATCCACTCGGACGTGCAAGGCGTGCGCCACTGACGGCCGTCCGAAGCAAGACCTCTTCTCCTGCACGCGCTGCGGAGAGCTCTGGGACAGGACCCACTTCGACGCGAGGCACCTCAAAGCACGCAGCACTACGCGGGTTTGCAATTCCCGCGCCTCGCCCACTGGTCGTACTTCCACGCTCACAGACTGCAAGTCCCTATCGCTGGGGCTCCGAGACTGCATTTGTAGCCACTGCGGTGTCGCCCGGTTCTCTTCGGAGTACGCGGGTTTCTGCTGTCAGTTCGGAAAGCACGCAATCGACTTCACGAAGTACTTTGCGGAGCCTGGACCGGACCTCCTCCAGGTATACCGACGCGACGGCTTCAACGCCCACTCCCGCGCATACAACAACCTGTTCGGACTCGCCGTGCACGATATCCAGTCCAGCAGCGCGGAGCGGGAAACACACTTCTCCCCGCGCAAGCCGTCTTTCATGAGAATCCACGGCACCATGTACCGAAAAACGTGGACCGCCGAAGGAGCCAATGCGGTTCAGTACATTGTCGTGGACCAGCAACTCCGCACGCAGACTGCATACCGTTTGCAACTCAATCCACAAATTGTGCGTGCTCTGGAACGCCACGTCCTCCACGGGAACCCGTACATGACGGCGATTCAGAAACTGACCGCCCCCACCTCGACGCGCTGCCCCGACAGAGTTCTGCAGCTCGACTGGGACGAGGGGATCCAAGAAGTGGCTGCCAGACTCGACTCCGCCGGCGGCGCTCGCACGTCTCCTCGATCGGTGTTCTTCCGCCTACAGAAGTCCGAGCAGTACGATTACATCCCTCCCCTGAGCGAGCTCTACGAACCACTGGCCTACCCTTTGTGGTACCCCCGCGGTGGCAGAGGCTGGGCTCCAGACTTGAACACGCCAGAGCACAACAAGATCACGCAGATGTGGTGGTACCGTCAGCAGGCGCTGCGGCTACCGCACATGCATGTGTCAGGGCGGCTCTTCAATGAGTGGGCGATCAACATGTTCTGCCGGATGGAGGACGAGCGCTTGCAACACGTGAAGGCACTGCAGCGGGCGTCCATAGCGACACGCTCCCAGCTTTGCGAGCTCCTGGCTAACCGGCCCCCCACTGAATCTGCTGGGATCGCTACGCCGCAGAAGCACTACCTCCCATCCACAGTGCAAGGGTCGCCGCGCCACCTTCGGCGGCTCCGGATTGACGCGCTGGAGACAGCTCGCCGTCTGGGCGCCCCGACGTGGTTCATCACTCTCACAACGAACCCCCATTGGCCGGAGATTGAACGGGAGCTCCACACGGGCCAGACCCACGCAGACCGACCAGACATAGTTGTCCGCGTGTTCCACGCCCGCCTGCAGCTCATCCTCAAATTCCTCCAGCACGAGTTCAGCGGGACTACGAAGTACATCATGCGAGTGATCGAGTACCAGAAAAGAGGCTTGCCCCACGCGCACATCGTCATTGGATCAGAGAGCCCCCCCGCCAGCGCCGAAGAAGTCGACGCATACATTTCGTGTGAGCTTCCTCGTGCGAGCGGTCCGCTTCGCGACCTCGTCCTGCGCCACATGGTGCACAAGTGCAACCGCGGCTGCCACCCCCTCGACCCTTCCGACCCGTGCAACAAAGGTTGCCCCTGGCCTTTCCGGCCCACTACCGAGTTTGACGGGCGCGGGTACCCCTTACACAGACGCCGGGAATGTGGCGGGCATTGTCCGAACTGCAGTTCTGGCCGCGCGGCGTTCGGTGGTCATGCACTCTGCTGCAACCAACTCATCGTGGAATACAACGCGAAGCTATCGATTCTGTGGGACGGGCACGCGAATGTGAAATTCGCAGGGCACGTCAATTTGTTCGAGTACCTCTACAAGTACCTCTTCAAAGGGCCCGACTACACTCTGTGCGACATGCCCCCTGCAGACCGATCCGACGACGAGATTGCAGACTGGCTCCGCGGCCGATACCTGTGCGCGACAGAGTGCATGTGGCGAATATTCGGCTACGACACTTACACGCAGACCCCCACTGTCGTGTGTCTCCCCGTCCACCTCCCCGGGGAAGACTGGGCGTCCTACAGCGACGGCTCCGAGCAACGCGCGCTCGACGCCACCTTCTCCGCCCTACTGCGGTACTTCGCGCGCCCGGCAGGGCCCGTATGCGACGGATTGCTCTACGCGGAGTATTTCGAGCAATTCCAGACGGCCAAGACGTGTCCTACCTCTTTAAACGACCCGTCCATGCTCAGAGCCGCAGGAGACCCGGACGTCGACGGCAGTGTCTGGACTGACCTGGCGCCCTGCGCCCAGCGGAACTACGTGTACCGTCGCATGCGTGGCCAGCCACCGCTGTGCCGATTGGAGATGAAATTCCCCCAGCAGAAAGAAGTGTTCAACCTTCGCCACCTGCTCTTGCACTACCCCAAGCGGTCGTTCGAAGACTGCCGGTCCCATCTGGGTCGGTCCTACGCGACTTTCGAACAGGCCATGCTCGCGACCGGCCGTTTCACCAACAACACGGAGGCGCACGACACCATGCAAGAGCTCATTGACCTACGTTACACTGGGCACCAGCTTCGTTTCGTGTTTGTTCTCCTGCTCGACCAAGACTGCGCGCCGTGCGCTTTCTACAAGCGCTTCGCTGTAGCTCTCCAGAAGGACTTCCTCGATCGAGGCATGTCCCCTGCGGCCGCGCAATTGTCCTTGGCCTCGGCATTACTCAACCTGTGGGTTCAAGCGGGCCACGACATGTCCAAGTTCCCGCTGCCTGACCTCTTGCGACACATGGCAGAACTGCAGGACCGGCCCGCTCTGCCCGAGGCAGAATCCCGTCGTTTGCGGCTCCTGGTGGAAGGCTCCGCAGAATCCAAACGACTGGCAGACGAGATCCTCTCGCAGTTCGCGGTTGGGGCCGACGTTTTCTTCTTTGTCCACGGTCGCGCTGGCACCGGGAAGTCCACCCTCGCCAACTATCTCACGCACGCTGCCGAGTCCACGCAGCACGCGGTGCTCAACGTGGCCACTATTGGCCAGGCCGCTCTCCAACTGGCCCACGGCGCTACTGCCCACTCCACGTTCGGCATCCCCACGACAGATGACGAATACCTCACTTCTACTGTGACGCCCAACACTGCGAAAGCCCGCATGCTGGCACAAACGAAGCTCCTGCAATGGGACGAATGGCCCATGGCCAAGAGGGCTTCGTGGGACTGCGTGGTGCAGCTGCTGCAGCGCCTGCGAGCTGACCTATCCGACGTGTACGTCCCGAAGGTCGTGGTTTGCTACGGCGACTTCCGTCAAATCCCGCCTGTGGTGAAGTACTGCACGCGCGCAGAAATTGTCCAGCACTGCGTTCGCGCGTCCCCAACGTGGGCTCGCTTCCGCGTGCGCCACCTGCACCGTGCCCACCGGACCGCCGCCGACGCCAAGTTCACGGAATGGCTGGAGACCATTGGCAACGGCACGTGCCCCGCTCCTCACACCTGGAACGGGCACACTGGCTACGTGGCATTATCTGGCCTCCCGATGGTGGACTCTGAGCAGGAGGCAGTCGACTTCGCATTCCCCACCTTGCATGACCCCCATCGCCGCTCCAAAGCCAAGATCGCGGCCACGACAAACGACAAGGTGGACCACTTCAACGCCCTCATCCTCAACAGGCTCGTCATGGACCACGGGCTTTCTGACCATTCCCACTACAGCGCTGACAGTGTCGAGGTCGACGCCAACTCCGTATTGGATGATTCCATGACCACCGAGTTCCTGAATACCCAATCCCACCTGGGCGCCCCCCCGCACCGCTTGCGGCTGGTCCGCGGAGGCCTCTACGAGCTCACGCGCAACCTCAACAGCAAGGAACGCTTGATGAATCACACGCCCGTTATTCTGAAAGACGTTCATCGGTTTCACGTTGTGATTGCCACGCTCGACCAGCGCGAGTACCGCCGCAGGCTGCCTCCGAGCTCAGGAAGATCGCCGCCAATAGCCGGCGATTCCAGGAGGCGGTGAACGAGCTGGAGCACAAGGGCGGCATGGTGGACAAGCTGCTGGCGGCCCCGGCGGGCGAGCTGGCCACCGTGCTTGCAGCAAGCCCTGGCTGGCGCAGCTTCCGGGCCAAGAACTTCTTGCGCTTCCGCCAGCCGACGAGTCGGTGCAGCGACCACGGCCGGTACGCCACCACGCCAGAGGTGGTCCTCGCGGGGTCTGGGCCGCGCCGGGTGCTCTCCCAGCGCCTGGGGACCACGGCGTGGGTGCCAGGGAAACAGGTCAGGAGCGTTAAAAACACACCATTCACACGCGTTAAATTCCTCCCACCCGCCCTACGTTTAATTCTGAAGGATCTGTTCATACAGATCACGCCTCCCCCGTACAGGGGGGAACGCGCGAATTGGCACGAACCCGGATCAGCGCCCACTAAAGAAAAAGCCCCTCGCGCAGCAATGTAGACCCGAATAGCAGTCATATTTTTTGGTGTGTTTTTTCTGCTCCGTCGAAGGGCCGGCGCGTCCGGAAGGTGGCCGCCCTGGAGAGCAGCACCGCCGGCGCCCTTCAGCTCTGGTCCGCCCTGCTGCGACAGTGCGCTGGCGAGCGGGCCAAGGCGCTGGCGGCGGCGCGCAAGCTGGCCACGAAGCGCCACAAGACCCCTGCGCTGGAGCGCCTGCTGAAGTGGGCGGACAAAGCGCTGCTCCCGGACTACGGGATGCAGTTCGCTTTCTGCGAGGAGAGCCAGCTGCTCTCCCGGCTCGCAGGCCCGGCCCCCCCAGACGAGGAGGCCGGCGACGAGAGCGACGTGGCGGCGGGCGACGACAGCGATGCCGAGGTCGCTGCTGGGCCGGCCGCTGGTGGCGCGTAGGCCACGCGGGCCCTGGGCTGCGGCTGCCGCCCCTGCCTCTGGCCCCCCGCTCTCGGCTTTCGGGCAGAGGCCGCCCGCGGGGTTGGGCGGTTTCTGGAGCGGCGCCTCTCGGTGCGACGCTGACAAATTGCTTTGCCGCCCCCCGACGGCACCTTCATTATCCCTCTCCCTCCTCCTCTTCCTCCTCATGATCTGGCAGTCCTTGGAGCCGCAGCCCCCTGGTCTGTTTCCATATGTGATCGCAGGGCATCTCCGTTTGTCTCACCCCCATGCGCAAACCGAGACAGCACGCCGCCCCAATGCGTGCCTTACCTTACCTTACCTCATGATATTCCTCCCTTCGCCGCGCCTCCCTAAATCGTCCTCCACTTCTTTCCCGCCCCTTCTGTCCGACGTTTTGTCTTTCCGGAGCCTCCACGGCCGCTCTCATCGCCGCTGATCGGTCCGCTGGGACATTCTCATGGAGTCCCAGTGGCGCGCGGACCAGCAGAGCGAGGGCGCGAGCAAGTAAGGTGCAGGTCCGGGAACTGGGCGCGAACCGGCCGCGGTTCAAAGATCGTGGAGGGCCGCGCTAGACGCCAACGCGCGCAAGGGTTGAAGGACCAAGGTGCATGGCGCGAAGCGCCAATACAGTCTTGTATATATATATATATATATATATATATATATATATCCAGCTGCCTGCGACAACCCTCGCCACCGTGCCTGCGCAATAGCGCAACAGGAGGGGGGCTGACAGCAGGAAGGTGCAATTCTTACAACTGGTCTGAACTGGGACGGGTCGTGAATTTGATCTCCTCTTCGTCCGCGCGGTAGGGGTAGGTCAAGTTCACGTCCCGCTACAGTTCAGCGAGTGGTTTGAACTGAGGCGGGTCGTGAAGTCGACACCGTCTTCGTCCGCGCGGTCCGGAGGTGAAGGAGGAGGAGGAGGAGCAGGAGGAGGGGGAGGAGTCGCAGGAGTAGAAGGAGGAGGAGGAGGAACAGCAGAAGGAGGAGCCAGGGTACCAGGAGGGGGAAGATGCGGAGGAAGAGGAGGAGCTGGAGACGGCGACGGGTCAGGAGGTGGATCTCGTCTGGAAGCCCTTGGACCGCTGCGGCAGTGAGCGGAAAGAGTGGACGAAGGAGTCATGCACGCAGTGCAGTGAGGGTCGCGGTGGCCCAAGCATGAGGCGGAGAGCCGAGATATCCGATGATTTGTTGTAATATCCAGCTGCCTGCGGCAAACCCCGCCACCGCGTCTGCGCAATAGCGCAACAGGAAGGAGACTAAGAGTAGGAACGGAGCAATTCCTACGACTGGTCTGAACTGGGACGGGTCGTGAATTCGACCTCGTCTTCGTCCGCGCGGTAGGGGTGGGTCCAGTCCACGCCCCGCTGCAGTTCAGCGAGCGGTCTGAACTGAGGCGGGTCGCGAAGTCGACACCATATTTGCCCGCGCGGTTGGGAAAAGGAGGAGGAGGAAAGGTGGAGGAGGAGGAGGAAGAGGAAACGGAGGATGAGGAAGAGGAGGAAGGAACCGCGTGCGCCCGAGAGGCTTCGCGAGGTGTGGGGCCTCCCACGCAGCGGCGGCCAGCAAGGTGCCCGTCCCCCCGCCGCAGGCGAGCGCGCCGGCGATAGCCGCCAGAATTTTCGCAACACATGTTTTTCCGTCGTGTCCCGCTTGGGTCCGCGACTACCTACATCCGCGACTACCAGGTCGAGGAACCCCGCCTGGCATAGGCGCCTCCAACGCTTGCGCACTATTTTGGGCACTACAGGCTGCGCGGCTACTGGCGCGTCATCACAGCGCACAGCAACTGCCGCGACACCCACCATAAGATCCCATAGCGACGGCGCCATGGGGATCGACGACGAGCCGTAGTCCGAGCAGGGGCCCATCTACGCGACCCACTACACATGCGACCAGCGCAGGATTGGATTGGTGGGGGAACGACTAATGGGCGGCACGGCACTATGGGCTTCCCAACGCCCCGGCACTCATTGGAACAAGGGCGCCAACGGCAAGGGCAAAGACAACAACGGCAAGGGCGTGGGCACGCTCCAAACCGTACGACGACCACACCTAGGACATCGATATCCCGCAGCAGGACCAACAGACAAACAAGTAGGGAAGGGGAAGACAGCCGCCCCAACAAGAAGAGGAGTCCTTTGTTAAGGAGAAGCAACTCGTGGCAATACAAGGCTACGGCCTCCCCGTCAGGACCATCAGCAACGCGTTGCCCATGCGCAAGGTCTACGATGCCAGAACGCCCGAGTGGGCAACACCACTAAACGATCCCATGGTGCGAGGAGACTGGAATCATATCAACGTCGAAGAAAGAGGGAGGCAACCGCGTTTTCCATCAAGAGCAGCGCCGCCGGGTCGCAGACGACTGACGCTGAGACCCACATCGTATTCACCAAAGCCATGACCATCAGCAGGATGCCGCTCGCCCACCAAGCCAGGGAAATCGAATGCACCAAGAGGGTCATGGATGACCGCTTTTCAGTTCAAATGCACCAAAGCACATCACTAGGAGGTGGAGGTTTGCCTGAAAAACCTTGGAGGGAAAGCTCGCCGAACTTCTCATCATCAGGAGGGACATCAACTACGCCAGGGACGACGTCTGTAACGACGCAGGGGCCACTGATCACGAGGTGGAACCGCCTCGCAAGGGCGGCCAACGGAGGAGGGTTGCAACGCCCTGTCCGAGGAGACAGACGAGTGCCGGTGTGTCCACAGTGGCGCGAGGCATGTGCGCGCTCCAGAAAGCACTGAAGGAGGACAATTGACGCCTCGTCCAAGATGTCAAGAACAACGAGAAGGAGACCACTTCAAAGTTCGACAATCTCAACAATATCAACAAAGAGCTGGAAAACGCAAGGGGAGAGTCGCAGCCGAATTACAAGAACTACGGCAATGCCCACGAGGCATTGAAGTCAACGCCGAGAGTAGGAGAAGTATAAACACACCAACGACGCCGAACGAACTCAACAACAGCCACAGGGATAGCTGCCCACTGCCATGGCCACCCACGACAAGATAGCCACGCGCCATGACATCATGCAAGACCAATGCGCGGCCAAGCTCCACGGCGCAGAGGAGAAAATGGATTGCATTGAGAAGGTCAACCTCGTCTTCCAGAAGAAAGGTATTGCCCCAGAACCAGAGGACATACATCATGGACTTCGAGAAACCACCGAAGAACGCTCGGCGGCCGCTCGGGCGCCGTGAGCAGAACCGCAACGCCACGCAACGTGCGCAACTTGCTGAGAAGACAGCTGCCCGAAGGGACGCCTACTACAACACTTGCAAAGAGGCGGGGCACCACATCTCATCCTTGGAGGCGCAGAGATTCAACCGCGTCAGCGAGTAGTTGCAGCCCCATTCGGGCCAGGCAACACACGTGTAACATACAGCCCCCAACCACCCCAAACGCGCCCAGAAGCTCCCGAGCTTCCCTCGGAATGGCTCGGGCGTCATATTAGAGGCGCAAGTCTGTTGGTTATTCTGCCGTGCCCGGGCCTGCAGGCTTTCGGCGCGTGGAACCATTGCGTGGTGGGCTGGTTGGCGCTGCTGGTCAGTCGCGGTCCGTTCATGTCTTCCGTGCGCCCCCGTTGCCCCAGATTCCGACGCGCGCCTCCAAGCGCCCAGATCCGCGCCCGTCGGCGCCCCCCAGGCATGCTCCGACCAGCTCGATTTCAAAGTATCCTTGTCCCCCTGGAGCAACGAGGTGCGCGGATGCTTCGATGGCCTTGGCGGGGCGTTGGAGGCGTCGAAGAAATTCGCGGCCCTTCGCAGTTCATATTGGCGCGCGATGCGCGGGGGGCTCGGGGGCGCCCCCTTTGCAGGTTGAGATTTCCCCCCGCAAGCTCTTCGAGCCCTCGACAAGCTCGCGATGGCCACCCCAGCTTTGAACCGATGTCGTTCTCGGGCCGCGAGCGGGCCATGGCGCGGGCGCAGGGCGCTTGGGGTCGGTCGGCGGCTGCGGAGTCTGGCAGGGCCCATGTTTCTTCACGTCGGCCCGCCCAACGTTCCTAACGGCCATCCAATTTCCCCCGCGATCCGCCCACTTCCCTCATGCCAATGTCGCCCCGTTCGACGAAACTCCCCCAGTGACCGCCGCGCTTCTGCGTGCCCCCCGCGCCCGTGCGCGAGCCCCCGTCATGACCGTCCAGACTCCTCCGCAGTCGCCAGGCACATCGAAACCGAGTCTCCTTAATGGGTGGTGGGTCTCATCAAAACATGGCAGCTTCCTGCGCGCGGAAGGCATCAGCTCAAGGCAATGGAGGCCGCAACCACCAGCAGACATCCACCCATGCACTGGCCAGCCATAGCGGCTAGGACACTTCGCCATCCCGACATCCCGCTGGAAGGCATGCCACCGCCGCGACCACCAACCGAGTTCAGCAGCGAGGTCTACCTATACACGAGGTACCAAGTATCGCACTCAGGCTCGACTGCCAGCACGGACCAGAGCGAAGACGAGTACTACCCTGGCCACGACAACATGGACTACATCAGCCCAGACGGATTCTGACCCACCGGCAAGCACAACCAGCAGCAGTACCAAACCCATGCCCACGGGAACAGCATCCGAAGTGGGCAATCAATCCCACATCGTGCAGCCGACAGCGTGATTCGTGATCGACGACAACACGGCGGTCACCCCAGTGGGGCTCCACCCTCAGGTAAGAGCGCACCATCCATCCTGTTTTTTTTCCGACAACCAACGGCTAAGAGGCGACCGCCACCATCATGCCAAGATGGAACCTGCCTCGCGGAGGCCCGTCAGTGCGTCACAATGTCCCTCGCGCCAGTGTTGCTACCAGTCGCCGCTGATTACCATCCATTGTTGCTCAGGCGCGCCTCGCGCTACCAATTGTCCCACCACCGACTCCCGACTTCTGCGCTATCTCTTATTCAAACCGCCGTGCTACGACAGCAACAGCAGCCGCTGGACTCTCTTTTCTTGTGGCACACAGCATACTACTCACTCTCCTTCCCAGGCGACGGCAACACCAGCACACGGCGACAGCGTCAACTTCAAGGGTCGCGAAGATGGCGGGTCCACGGCAGTGGTTTACTCACCCACACTCGTCCGACGTGCCACATGAACCCACGGCGGCTACATCACCCACCAGCTTAGCCTTGCAACAGATCGGATGACGTGGTGTTATCGTGAGTGCATTTTATCCCACGTATACTTGCGGTGTCGCGGCCACGTGGGACTTCTAAACATGCATTTTTTCTGACCCGCAATGGCCAGGGTCACCGCAACCAGATGGAGCCCTCTAGCGAAGGCGGCCGAACTTGGGGGGGGGGGGCGCGGCAGTATCGGACGGATTGTAATGCCATCAGGAATCAGGAGGTAGGGATGTGAGGAGGATGAGGAGGAGGAGGAGGAGGAGGAGGAGGAGGAGGAGGAGGAGGAGGAAACGGAGGAGGAAGCGGAGGAGGAGGAGGAGGAGGACGGGGACGAGGACGAGGAAGAGGAGGAGGAGGAGGAGGAGGACGGGAAGGAGGAACAGGATAATGTGAATGCCAGCAAGAATAAGTACCTCAGGGGCTATCTTGGGGCCCTCTGGAGTCTGTCGGTGGCCTCTTTGGGCCTCTTGGGCCGCCTCAGGGGGATACTGACCCGTCCGACGCCGTCGGAGGCTGGTCGAGGGGGTTCCTTTGGCAGTCTTGGTGCCCTTTTGGAGCGCTGTTGGGCCATTTTGGGGGCATTTTGGGGCCCTCCTGGGCCGAGTTGGGGGCCGCATGGGTTGCCTTGGAGTTGTTTTTGGATGCCGTTCGGCCGTCTTTGGCGGTCGGGAACGCAAGCTGGTGGACACTTCAACTCCTCGTATGACCAAATGCAAATCATCATTTGTTTTGCCTTTTCGGGCTATCCTGGAGGGCCTTGTGGAACCCTCTACGGCCGTCTTACAAATCAGTCGAACCGTCTTGTGGCCGTTCGTGGGTGGGCCCTGGAAGCCGAAAGCGGCCAAGAATTGTCCGTCGGTCGTTTCTACACGATGCGAGCATGTCTGGGCTAGTCTGAGGCGGAGGAGTTGGATGGGGTGGAGGAGGAGGAGGAGGAGGAGGCGGAGG